TTTTTTTTAATTTTGCATCTGCATTTTTTCAAAACACCTCATACTTCTGCAAAAAACATAAATTCATTTCTAAAAACATACAGGTAAACTCACGGACCATATATCTCATGATAAAAAATGACCAAAAAAAAATCCTGCTTTTCTTTATATATATTTTTTAATTTTGTTTAAATCGATTTTAGTTTTTGATTTTTTAAAAATCTTAAACAAAGTCCGATTCCAAAAAAAAAAAAAAAAAGGAGTGTAGGTTTTTTTTAGCCCTACACGCCCATATATCGTCAAATAGAACTGCCCGGTAAACCGTAGGCAGAGAGGGAGAAGAGGACAACAAACGAGGAGCTGTGACAAACTGTTTCGTCGGAGTATATATATATATTTTTTCATGCATTAGAAAACAAAATAAAAATCTTGCACCGAAGTCGGCTGGTCGGCCTAGGCAGAACCCGGCCAATTCGGCCATCGGCCTAGGCCGCGGCCGACTTGGACCCCCCGGCCGCGGCCGGGCGTGCAACATAGCAAGGCAGGCAGTTACACATTGAAGGCCGCCCAGTGAACCGTAGGCAGAAAGTGAGAAAATGACAAGAAACGGGGGGCTGTGACAGACTGTGTTTCACTGGAGTTTCACCAAGTCGTCAGGAGGCCGAACCCTCTGCAGCCTCACAACCGATACCCTGCGGTGGGCATCAAGCACTGCAAATCATATAATCCACCTTACGGATGAATATAAACGACTGCCCCACAACTCTTACCCTGAGGTGGGCACCAACCACTGCCCTCAATGGGTATATACAAATTTCTCAATTTTCTGATGGGACTGCCCAGGATCCTGCCTTGACCTTGCCGGGCTAAGGCCAAACGCCCGGCCCCAGGCAGCCAGAGTTAGCTCAGGCCGCCCACCTCGTAGCACAGATTTTACTTCACATTTGATTTCCTTGTACCAATTTGCTGGTTCCCATATTCATCAGATGGTAATCTGGGCTGACTGGAGCTCGATGTCTGGGTCTGGATGTGCAGATGGGTGGTCCAAATGAGGGCCTAATGAAGGATTTTTTTTCAAGAAAAGGCTAGAGCAAGATGCTATCTATGGACAGGGGACCCCAACCGAACCTCATGCATCAACAGGGTAGCATGGAGCCACATCATTAGGAAACCGCAGGAGGGAGGCCTAGGGCTAATCGACACCAAGCAAGAATCAACAACACTACAGATGAAATGGATCATCAAGATCCTGACCAGACAATACCTACCATGGACCAAGATGGCTCTACACAGCATAAGAAACCTAGTGCCGATAAGCTCCCCACCAAACATGAGCGGCTACTTCTGGATTATGGCAAAGGAGTGGACGATAAGATCAAGCAGACCCCACAGGAACAACACACGTAACTCAGCCAACCAGGCAGCCCCAACACCCAACCCGTACTGGACCCTGACTCTGAAAGCCTGGCGACGTATGATGCCAAGCAAACATGGCACAGCGAAGAACAAAGAAGAGGCCCTGAGACAACCGCTGTTTTACAACGATTGGATCAAGGACCCAGAGGGTAGTCCCTCGTCACTAAGAATGAAGGACCGAAGATGGTTGTCGTCGGTTGAAAAAGGGGTGTGGCAGGCAAAACACCTGTGGGCAGAAGAACGGGGGGAATGGCGAACGGAACAAGAACTCCGGAACACCCTAAAAGGATGTCACGCTCTCGCAGACAACTTGAGTTAATCCAGAAGAGCATCCCACCCCTTTGGCTCCGCCTCTTGCAAGAAGACTTCGGCTGGAAACCAGGGGACTGGGGTATACTCATATCCCAAACTTCACCGAACAGAGCATACCGGTTCGTATCCCGCACCTCAGTCACCGGCTACCTTTCCAAATTCTACTCCTATCCCATCACTAATCACAACCTCCAAGAACTAGCCATTCTCAACAGAAAACCTTTGCTAGAGATGATAGGTCCTTCCTTCTGCGAAAAGTGAGGGTAACAAAAACCAAACCATGGATAATCTTCCAGCCTGGCCTCAGCACAGCGGAGCTCAAACTCGATCCTAAGGAGTGGTTACGGAAACAAAGCAAAACCGGAAAAAACAGAACGATACTGGATTACAACGTAAAATTCGGGTACAACCTAGGCCTACTGACCACGGACCCCAACCCCGAACATGAAGACAAATGGAGAGAGACACTGATCCTAGAGCCAACAGCCTCAATATCCATCCCCTGGACAAAATACCTCCCCATCAGACCAGCTAGAATCCGTAGCTTACAGTGGCTCCTAGCCCATGCAGCACTCCCTGTTAACAAGTGGCTCCACACAAGAAGAAAACACACAGACCCCGACAGCTCTGAACTATGCGTACTGTGCGGTGACAACGTCCCTGAAGACATCCCCCACTGCCTCTTCTACTGCAGCCAGGCCGTCTGGATATGGAACGAAGTCCGAAACCTATGGTCCCACCTCTTCTCATCCCCTCCCCCCAACCTCCCCCCTCTGAACATCCTACTTCTATCTAACATCCCCGGCAGCCTCAGAGGTGGAAAAGCAGTCTGGTTCCACATGATCAGGAAACTAGCCCTCTGGGTCATATGGAAAAGGAGATGCACCAGGACAATCGAGGGTTCTGAAGCGGCCAAGGAGGAAATGTGGGATCCTGCTGCTGAGGATGGTGGAAACAGAGATCCAATGCCAATAGAGGAGTATATCGACAGCAATGAGAGGCAAACCTGAAAGACTCACACTCAGGAGACGAATCTTCATGAGAGACTGGCTGCTACAGGGGAAGATCGTGACAGTCTCAGACAATAAGTTACACTGGAAGAAATGGGCCACTACAACAACGACAAGGAATGTAGCCCCGAGAGGGACAAATTGAGGTTCTAGCCTCAGACGGATAGACATCTCTCCCGGTTTTCTTGTGCTTCAATATCTATTCGACAGAACCAACAGGGTGTCTGAGCGGAAAGCTAGGGTAG